CCTCCCTGGTCCTGCTGACCACACTAGGGTGGTTAGGCATTGGAATATTGCTCAGGGAGGTGCTGGAGTCAACATCTGCAGAGGTGTTTTAAGAGGGTTTTTCTCCTGTGAGGGTGGTGAGACACTGGCACAGGTTGCCCAGGGAAGGAGTAGATGCCCCAAGCCTGGCAGTGTTCAGGTTGGATGAAGCCTTGAGCAACCTGCTCTGATGGAGAGGTGTCTAGATGCAGTGGAACTAGATGATCTCTAAGCTCCGTTCCAATCTCTAAAATTCTATGATTCTATGTATGGATCTGGCACTGGAAGATATCACAGAATCAGAGAATAGTCAGAGCTGGAAGGGACCCTTGAGGATCATCTAGTCCAACTCCTGTCCAACAGGACATCCCTGAAGATCACACCCTGTGCCTGAGAGCATTGGCCAAACACTCCTTGAGCTCTGTCAGGCTGTGACCACTGCCCTGGGGAGCTGTTCCAGTACCCAAACACCTTTGGGGAAGAACCTTTTCCTAATATCCAACCTAAACCTTGTTCCAGTGCCCAAACATCTCTGGGCAAAGAACCATTTGCTAATCTCCAGCCCATATGGTTTAGGGGTCACATCAGTGACAGGTTAACAGTTGGACTTGATGATCTCAGAGGTCTCTTCCAACCTTGATGATCCCATGAAACAGGGTGGATTTTGGGGGTTTGAAGCAGTCAGGTGGGTCAGAGAGCAATCAGCTCCCTTTGGTACTCACTGGTGCTTGGTGCAACAAACACAGGGTATTTTCTTGGGTTGGGAATTTTCTATGCAGTCTGGTTTCCTCACCTCAAATTTATTGTGGGCTTTAATCACCATGGTTTTCTGTCCATTTTTACTGCTTTAGAGCCAACTAAATAAAGAGACCGAGCAAGGGATTCTGTTATGATGTGCATCGTTAACAGGATTGTTTATTAAATTCTTAATCAGTAACATCTGCTTGCTTGTTCATTGAAGACAAGTAGTAATTTGGTTGTGGGAACATTTATAGCTGCTTGAGCTGTGCAGTAACAAAGAATTATCTCTGACCCTTTGGTCTGAATTTACAGCAAACACAAAACCCCACGATGCTGTTCTTAAAATAATTTCCAAAGTGAGACATTTGCAATAAACTGTTGACAAACTCTTTTAGTCCCTTCAAAAATAAAGACCTTGGTACAGCATCATCTTGTGCTCTAAGACAGAAAGCAAAGCAGTTCTTGGATAACATTTCTGAACTTAACATTTTTCTGGCCAGAAAGAACACACTTCATTATCTTTTCTGTGTGTACCAGTGAGTTTGGCACTGTTACACTGCAGAAACCACAGAATGGAAGCAACAGTATTCTGTAAAAAAAATCATAATTTTTCTTATGGTTTGAAAGAGGAAAATCAGAAAATATATAATCTTGATGCAGTGATAAAGAATCCTGACAACAAGCTGAGACATACTCCTCTGTCCCTGCATTTTTTTTCTAAGAGAAGTTAACAAAATAAATCAATATATAGCAAAACATTTCCATGTTCACAGCCATCCCCCAAACTGCAGCTTGTTTGGTAAATAGACTCTGGAAAGGTAATCTGATGAGAGAGAAGTCAAAACCTGGATTTCAGCCTTCAGCTTGGATGCTGCCATAATTTCCAGCTAAAAAGAAAAAAAAATTAATGTGTGAAGCTGTAACAGCCTGATCCAGGGTTAGGTAAGAGTTTCAACAGGAGTTGCTCTCCTTGGATGTGCGTGTAGGACTGTAAGTCAGTGTGACTGAAAAATTGAGGTATTTATGCTTTAAAAGCTACAGGCAAGATTAGAGGTCAAGTACTGAGCAAGTAAGTGCTGTGGGCATTCCCCTGCTTGTAAAGATGTAAAATATTCTGTAACATTATCACCCTCTCCAACTCCCTGACAGGAGGTTGGAGTCAGATGGGGGTTGGTCTCTTCTCCCAGACAACCAGCAGTGGGACAAGAGGGCACAGACTCAAACTCTGCCAGGGGAGGGTTAGGTTGGATGAGATTAGCAGATGTCTAATGGCAAGAAAGCTTAAAACACTTCTGTGAGCCGTTGAGAGACATCCCAGGGCATGGACTTTCTCCATCTTGCCTTCTTTTAGGGCTGCAAAACCTCACTGGTTCTGCTATAGTAAGAGTTTGTCGTCACGAAGAGGAACAGGACTGCAGACAATAGGATTTTCCCTGTGGGTTGTAAGAAATAGGAAACAGTAGGTTTATACATACTTCTTTTTTCCACAGTGGCTGACAAGAAATATAAGGTCTCCTCTGTATACTTGCTAATTTATTTTCATCCTGCTTTGTCAGTGGAATCAGGGCATCTTTAGGTATATTTAGTCTGAAAAGAATATAAAGTTATTAAATTTCCTCACACATGTAAAAATATATTTTCCAAACCAATTTCTTTATATTAAGCCAAAACAATGTATGCAAAAATAATGGATTTAAATGGATTTTTGTGCAGTAAGACAGATTGCATTTCCTGTCTATGAACTACAAGATTATTTCTATTTCTTTGGGGGAAATAACTAACCTCTTGAGATCAGATGGAAGGAGCCCAAGCCACTTTATAGCCGGAACAGTGAGATGATGAGCCTCAAAAGACATGGACTAAAATAAGAAAGGTCAGCTTTTCAGTGTAAGTTATCTCAGATATGTGCCTTGCAAGGTCATGGTCAGATTTTATTACAAAGATAATTGAGTATTTTCACTCTCAGATTGGCATAGGAGAGCATAGTGCAAGTGAAGCTTACCATATCCCTTGGCAGGAAAGAGCTCCTTTGTGGGAGAGCTGAAGGTGTGACAGCTCACCTGAAAAGTTCTGACATATCCCTGAGGCATATGTTATGACATCTATTTGAACTCTGGCATCATCAATATCTGACAGCTTCCTGAAGTTTTGGGTTTTTTTTAACTTTAGGTGTTCTTTCCCCATGGCTGAACAGTTCAGCCATCTGCTCCTGCCCTCTGCCTTCACCTTTGCCTGCCTTCCATGTTATCTTCCTGTACCTCATCTGTAGCCATGTAATGTTAGCACTTTCCTATTCCTTTTGCCTCTTAGTCCATAATGTTCCACACTAGTCCCTAGGCGAATCCTCACTCCAAAACAAAATCTTTACCAACATAACATGATTATGTGGAGAATCACCCTTCTCACAAATTAGGTCTTCCTCCTCCTCCCAAAGTCTCTCCAGCCTTCATTCCTCTTCTAAGGCCAAATGGAGAACACAATTGTTTGGACTGTCTGAAAACTGCCTGTGCAGCAGGAAAAAACTGGGAAATACAGTGAACTGAAACACTTGTCATTGCGACTCGGTTTCATTTTGTTGCAGGAAAAAGCCATTTCTGCAGACACACAAGGCCTAAAAACTGTATCATTGTGCTGAAACAAAATGCTAAAGGGCAATAACAGAGCTTCCAGGCTGGGCTACAAAACAATGTATTTGAAGTGGAAAAAAGTACTCACCACAGATCCATACTTGTAGACACACATAATTTCTATACCTAGGTTACAGAATACCAAAAGTCAAGGGTGTGTTTATCTGCACACTGAGCATGTTTAAGGAGACATGTTAAGAATTCAATTTTATGGCATAACCTATAGCTTTATGATTAGTGAAGTTCTTTATGGCTTACTAATATTTTAGAGTATGTCAAAATAATCAGAATTTGAGCATAATATACCCTTGTATAGTTACATGTTTCATGCTGAGTCAATTCAAATTCAAGGATAATTAATCAGCTCTTTTACACACTGGAAAGTTTCTTTATCCTCTGTAATCCATATCTCTTAATACTATTGCTTTGAGCAGCTGCTTCTCATTGTGCTTTCCCAAATTCTAGGTGGGATCAGTGTAGATACATGGAATTCTGTGCTCTCAGACCCTTCCCAGAAGAGCAAAAAAAAGGCATTCTAAACAAATTTTTCTTTCCTTTTGTACCGTTGAACCTTTATAGATTTACCATGTGGATCTGCATCCATAAGGGTGAAAATAGGAAATTGAAAAGTATCCCACAGCTTCCTGACCAAAAATCTTGTATTGAGATCTGGTACTCCTCTTCCCTAAAGAAAGAAAATAAAATCAGAGAGATTTAAAGTTAACCAAAACAACATCTGGCTACATATGTGTTTACAGTTGGCATTTAAAAGCAAGCAAACAAACAGAATGCTGGCAGCAGTGTTCCTCCAGCAGCTGTTTTGCAGGGAGAGGTCTGTGCTCCCATTCTGCCTCCATGAGGAGGGAGGGGTGGGCTGGGAGCAGTCCTGCAGGCATTCTGGATTACAGGCACTGTGCAAGTATCAGACATTCCTCTGTTCAAGGAGCTAATTTATAAGGTCTGGGAGCTGAGGTATAGACACACCCTGGTGTCTGTACAAGCTGGTGTAAAAATTCCACTTTTTTCATCTCAAATATTTATGGCACTATTGAACAACATAAAACAAGCTATGACTGACTAAACCTGGGTGCTGTGTGGGATAGTAGAAGTGTTTATCTCTCTTAGGCATGGGGGATATGCTCTTTTTCCTCATTGTGGACCAAATTTGTCCCAGAACAAGTAGATATTGCATTTACACCTCCCTATGAATTCTCCAGGCTCCATAGTTCTTTCAGTACAATCCAAAATCAACCAATTCTGTTTCACTCGGGTTTGCTAAAACCTCAGATCCTGAAGGACAAAAGGTCACTCAGCAGTTCCAGCCTTTCTGAGACCAAGTGTGGCAGTAACTTTGCAGCAGCACAGGAAGCTGATAAGCTATCAGGCTCTAAGGATGTGTTAGGAGGAAGTAAGTCTTGAGAATGTGCATTTTGTATTTCTGTGAGGGTAATAAGCTTTAACAAATTACTGCTAAATATGTATCACACTCATTTTATCATGATCTTTTCCCAAGTTTGAGCACCACTACAACGTTAAGTAGTACTTAAATGAGGTCTAGCTGGAGGATATGAAATGCAAGATGCATACTGTGATCATGATGCATGGGGACACTTTGCTGAAGAAGTCATCATCCAGGAGCCTCTGAAAAGTTGCATCTTTTTCCACAATCAACACAAATTTGGCATGCGAGATTAAATCTATGCTGTTAAGGCTAGCTGCATGTAAAATGATCCATCACACCAATCAATTACCACTAACTGCTCTGAAATACCTGCTCTGGAGCCAAAAGCAGTGATCATGACTCAATTTCAGAGCCAACGAGCAAAGAAAAAATTACCAGAACATTGTTTAACTTGGAATATTCCTTGTTTTTACTTTATGTTTTCAGACTATGACAAGAGTTCTTGCTCAAAGGATACTTTTAATTCCATGAACATTAGATGGCACAGCGACTGCCTAAAACAACAAAAACGAGATTAATCATTTGAAACAGAGAAAATTATACATTTTAAAATAACAACATTAAGTAATGAGGGACACAATTGCATCCTGAGTCAACCATTCCTCTTCTATATACAGATCAGTCCTGACATTTTCACCTCTTTACAAGTGTGTTCAGTCATTCATATCCTGCTTTATTGTGTGGTTGTCTGGGAGTCCTGTTAGAAGGAGATGCTTTTCAAAAGTGTTCATGCCACTGCTGCAGAAAGTTTTTCATCATATGGACACGACAGATAATAACAATGTCCTGATTAACCCTTTATCTATCTCAGCCAGGAAAACAGCCTGCTTGGTATGAGGATCGAAAATTTAATACAGGCTTAAAACATTGGAGTGTTCTTCTTGGAAGACCATTAAACCTTTTCTTTTATTAACCTGTAACTTGATTTTATAAGTATTTTGGAGCCACAACATGAAGACATAGTAATGTTTACTTTGCATCTCCTGTTAAGATTGGCTCAGTCTGGCAAACATATGGGTGAGAAAACAGGAACTGGGGGAAGAGCTTAGCCAAAGAGAATGTATATATTGAAGTGTGTGGTCTGTTTTTACTTCTGACTGCTGAATCACCTCCGGTGCCAGGGTGGAACAACTCAGCAAATAAAAGTATGAAGAGCTGTGGAAGAGCATTAATAACAGAAGACTTTATGGTCTGCTTAAAAACAAAGTGTAATGGGCAGCTAACATTGTCTTTCTATATTGAAATGACCAACTTAGGCTCACAAATTTGAGTTTTGTTCCTGCTTTCATACTCTGCATGGCTCTAGGAAATCTTTCAGGACTAGGTCCATTGAACTGAGATTCAACTCCTCAAACTACTTTTGACTTGTTTCCTTATTCTGCTAGAAATCAAACTATTGTGGCAGAAATTATATATGTTCAGAGTGCCCAGGACTCTTTGGTTCAGAGTGCCCAGAATTCTTTGGTTCAGATTGCCCAGGACTTTTTGGTTCAGAGCATTCATTTGACAGAACACTAATATAAAACAAAAAATACGATATATATACATCTCCCTTTGCAAGGCTCCTGTGGTAGAAGGTAATGCTAAAAAACATCTCCAAAGGATTAATTCCTGGTGGCTATATAGCTGAGCTTCAGTATTGCAATACAGTTAAGCATATTTTTTATCCCTCCTTTTTTCTTGGTAATGTCTCTGTTTGCCACAAGCACAGGTCTGTGTAATGTATGCAGTGACCTGAGCTACAAGAAATGCAGGATACCTTGCAAAGGAGATGCTGTGAATTGCTGTTACTGTTTGACAATACATACTGTTGCACTGCAGGTGCAATTCACTTTTGTACCATCTTCCTCAGTGTAACTCAAATTACCAGCAACAAAACCTTGAGTTGTAGACAGCTGGAAAAAACAGGGAGTTGTGAACGGTAAATGGGAAGTTATAGGCTGTCATGTTGCCACATTGCACAGGCAAAACAAGAAAATTCTGGAAAAATTCTGGCTGGGAATAACCAGTTACTGACTGCCATCAGCCTTTTAAACACTAAACAATGCTGTTGTCACAATGGACACAAAGACAGACTTACAATAAATAATTTTAGGTACAAAGGAATTCTTGTAGGGCATAAGATACCAGTGAATTTGATAGGAGGTTACATCTCTGATGTACTTCAAATTTTCATTTAATCTCCAAGTTAGCAAATCATTTGAGTACCAACTGCTGAACAGGTGTGTGGCACTCTAAAGTTTAACACTGCCATAGCAAAGCCCCTGTGATTTTAGCTGCCAGTTTGTCCCAAACTCTTTGGAGCAACAAACTCTATGAAGTCCACTACAGAAGAGGATCAGGTTCAAGACCATTTTAGCAACCTGAAAGTCTATGTTGGATGTGAGAAAAAAGTTTTTTCTTGTAGGGTGGTGAGACACTGGCACAGGTTGCCCAGGGACGTGGTGGCTGCCCCAGCCCTAGCAGTGTTCAAGGCCAGGCTGGATGAGCCTTGAGAAACCTGATCTAGTGAGGAGGTGTCCCTGCCCAGGGCAAGGGGTTGGGACTGTGTGGTCAGTAAGGTTTGTTCCAACCCCTAAATTCTATGATTCTATGAATTTTCTGGGAAGAAAGAAACTTTTGAGTGCTATGATAAAGCTTCATTTGTACCAAACCAGCCCTAGCAGTGTTCAAGGCCAGGCTGGATGAGCCTTGAGAAACCTGATCTAGTGAGGAGGTGTCCCTGCCCAGGGCAAGGGGTTGGGACTGTGTGGTCAGTAAGGTTTGTTCCAACCCCTAAATTCTATGATTCTATGAATTTTCTGGGAAGAAAGAAACTTTTGAGTGCTATGATAAAGCTTCATTTGTACCAAAGACACTTTATTTATGTCATTCC